CGCGGGCGGGCCGGGCGCGAACAAAGGGGCCTTCACCTCGGGCTTGCGGTCGTTCGAGCCCGACTTGTCACGGGACCGGCGGCGCGGGCTACGGCTGCGGCTGCGGCGGGAGCGGCGCGGCGACCGGCTGCGCGACCGACGGCTGCGGCGGTCATGGCGATCGCGGTCGCGTCGCGACGAACGAGAGCGCGACCGGCGGCTGCGCGACGAGCGATGGCGCGGCGAGTAGCTCCGCGACCGGCGGCGGCGATCCCTGTCGCGGTCATCATCTCTGTCGCGCCGACTGCTCTTGCGTTCCTTGTCCTTGCGGCTGCTCTTGCGCTCGCGGCTCTCCTTGCGCTCGCTGCCACGCGCGTCCTCTTCGGCCATCCTGTCTCCACACGATTCTGGCGTTCGATAAATCGACAACCCAGATAAGTTCGATTCCGCACTTGTTGAAATTTTGTTGCGATCTTCCGACAATATCCGCTCGGCCAGCTCGCTGGAGCCCCTGCTGTCGCCGTCGTGGCCTCGCTCTCGCCCATGCCCGCGGCCATCGCCGCCTGCGGCTACCTCGCTACAACGTATCCACGCACAGCAAATGCATTGCAACACGCATTCTACATGGTTATATCGCGGCGCGGCGCTGGTATCGCAGCTTGTCGTAGGCCCATGGCAGGTCGGCCGTGAGCTCGACGACGCACGCCCACAGCGTATGGACAAAGTACGTGCGGGCTAGTGTCGGGTCTTCGTCAAACACGTAGCAGTAGCTCGGCTCGTCTCGCGGGTCGTCCTGTCGCGTCATTGATGCATCGATCTCTCCATCCATTACCGAGGTGCGTACCGTGGCAAAGAGGCTGGTGCAGCCACGTTGAATGTACTCGAAGACGCGCTCCACGCTGAGCACGTGGACTTCGTCAGCCTCGTGCGCTTCTTCTTCCATGTCGACGACCGCGCGGAAGTACGCGACCATCTCTTGCACGTGCGTGTGGTCGGGCGACGTTTGGAAGGCGAGGTCGGCGTGCCCGGCCAGCGACGTAAAGAGGCTCGACGCATGCAAGAGCGAGTACATCTACAGCGCGTTTCAACATGCATCCGATACCCGAAAGAAGAGCAACGTACGAGCTGTGGATTCCGAGGCAAGAGCCGGCCCGACAAGACGACGTTGATCAAGCCAAGGCCGAGGTGCAGACATTCCATGTACATGGCTTGCTTCTCCAGCAGCTAGCCCACGAATCGATACGCGTACGTCGTAAACAACGATGTAACGTACCTTGGTTTGGTGCATTGTCACGTCGTCGGCCTCATGTGGCGAGGCATCGAGGACGTCGAGGTCGGCTTGCACCCGCGCTTCCTTCTTTGCCCAGTGCTCGACTGCGTGGACGAGGCTCTGGCTTGCGTACGGGTGCAGCTGGTGCGCATATTGCAGAAGGTTAAAGAGCGTGCCAAAGGCCAAGCTGTGCAGTCGCGGGTTCCGAAACGTCGCGACGTTCTTGTGCACGAGACGCACGAGTAGGACGATCGCAGCCGATGCAAACGAAATGTCCACCATGTACTTTTCCATGTACCACTCGACGTGGTCATGGAGCTACAGTCGCCCATGGAGACAGCATTAGCATTGAGATGAAGAAGTACCATGGACACATGGAGGGCCTCAACGACGGCGGGTCGCTCCGAGAGCCGCAAGAGCACGGTCAAGTACACGTACAGTGAGGTCGGCGCGGTGCTGTCATACATGGCTTTGAGCAGCGGCAGGCCCTAGAATGCAAGTACTTCTTGCAGCCATCGTTCTCGCTGGGAGAACGTACGAAGAGCTCCATGTCGAGCGGCTGCGCGATTCCCGCGGCAAAGCTCGGGTGGATGGTGACGAGTGCGTACAATAGCGACGTTCCAATCTCAGTCGAGAGCGACCTGTACGAAGGTTTGGCGCTGAGACAGCCGACGACATGTCAAGCAAGCCATGTACCGGCCGAGGAGGTTGATCAGCTGCGAGTACGACACGGCGTGCACTGCGCTAACATTGCCGTCGCGATCGTCGAGCTCACAAAACGCAGTCCGGAACGGATTGATGTCACTAGGATATCCAACCCGCGTCAAGTACGGGCGATGGAGGAGGCGAACGCGATACCTCGGCGCCGTGTGCAAGAGGAGCAGGAGCAGGAGCACGCCTCGGTCGGCCAGCGGATACACGGGCGTCTCGGTCGCGACAAAGTACTCGAGGACACTC